TCCTGGAGAACATCAGTGGAGCAAGGAGACCAACAAACCTGACCCAGTTCCACCAGTTCTGTCAGGAGGAATGGGCCAGAACTCATCAGACTGTGGTGAGAAGCTTGTGGAAGGAAACCCAGAACATTTGACCCAAGTCATAGAGTTTAAAGGCAACGCTAGCAGATACTGAGGAGATGGATGGAAAGTTCTGACTTTGAAGGAAGGAATAAAACATTCTCTCATTATTCTGGCGTTTAGCAAATAGAGATAATGTTGGTGATCCTGACTGACCTGAAACAGGAAAAGTTTCGTCTGATTTAATGTCAGATAGACAGAAAAAAAAAAGGTTTTATGTCTTTTTATACGGCGGTTTATAAACTTCTGGTTTCAGCTGTAAATCTGAGTTAATATGAAGGAATGAGTATTTTCTGTGCAAATCCCCCTCAAGTTAAAGGATCAAACAGCTGCTTTAAGCCCACAGTTATCGGCTCCACATCTTCCCAGGAGCTGCAGTCCAGAATAAATCACGCAGAGTTTATTTATTCGGGTTTCTGACCTGCGCCGAGAGGTTAAAGTTATGAACGGCCGCTCCGGAAACGCCAAACAGCTTCACCTCGTCGACTTAATTCTCTGTTAAAAGTTGATCATGTTTATGCAGATGATGTTTTTCGCTCCCCTTCGAAGAATAGATTTGTTCCACGCCGCGCTATTTCCGATCCGGCCCAACCTCTGCCCTGCCCAGCGCCGCTGGCCCGAGGCCCAGGGTGAAGATAGATGCCAGCGCTCCCTCACTCGCTCGCTCACTCGCTCGCCTCCAGTGGGTCGACATCAAAGCCTGCCTCCAGGGACGACGGCGGCCGGACCGCACCAGCATTTCCAGGCACCCGGGACGGAAAACACACGACAACGACGAGGACGATGCAGGAGAAGTTTGCATATCAGCTCTTTGATTATTGATTTCCAGCAGAATTCACCCCGAAGCCCAAACAGAACCGAAGAGGAAACGATCTGCATCCAAACATCTCGTGTGTTGTGTGAGACTGAAAACAAATGTGACTGCAAAACAATAAATGGTTAAAATATCTGAGTTTCTGTTCATTTCTTTTATTGCCAAGAGCCAGAATGACTGAAGTAATGTTTAGAATCCAGCTCAGAGATGATCGTGTTTTGTCAAATTCAGCTGATAATCCTCACGATCATCCACATGAAG